CTATAATATAATCCTTATTTTTAAATATTATCAAAAAAAATTTTATTTAAATATATTAAATTTTTAAAAATATATATTAGAAGTATTTTTATAGTAAAATTCAGTCCAAATTTGGCATGATTTTCAAATGGTTTAAGGAATACAAAATTAACTTCCGGGTTTTTATAAACCATTGAAATTTTTTTTTATATGCTTTAAAATTTTGTTTTAAAAAAAAAAAGCTGGTTAAAAATTAATTTTGGCTTTTATTTTATAAATAAAAAAAAAATTTTTTTAACTTTTTTATTTTCTTAATAATAAATTAAATAAATATATAGCGACAAAATTATTATTTTTTTAATAAATAAGTTTTTTATATAAATTTGTTGGCCAATCACCATTCTTATTTTTCGACCAATCAAAGTTCATGTTATGTGATTTGTCTCCGCTTTAGACGCCCTCTTATTTTTTAAACAAATTGATTTTTGGTTATTTTTTACTAAGTAAAAGTGGTTTTTATATATAAAAGTTAAAATAGTACAATGTAAATATATGAAATGAGCTTAATAAAAGTTGTTCAGAATTAAAAAATACATATTTCTGAAAATTTCATACAATTTGAATAATTTTTTATTAATACAGTTTTGCATATAAAGTTTTAAATTAAATTGCAAAAATGTATTAATAAAAAGTTATCCAAATTGTATAAAACTTTCAGAATATATGTATTTTTAAATTCTAAACAACTTTATTAAGGTCATTATATATATTTACTTAGTACTATTTTGACTTTTATATATAGCAACTATTAAAGTAGCTTCTTTTGGACTAAAGAGATTTTTAGGTTTTTTGCACAAAAGAGGAGAGGTAGCTTATTTTAGGAGGTAGCTTATTTTGGGAAAAATACGGTACTAATACTAACTATGATCACTCTCTAGTTGACTGGTGGATCATTAATTAATTTAGATTCACAATATATTATTATGCATATTAAAAAATTCTAAATACTACTATTATTACAACTTTTTGTATCTATTAATATTATTTTATAAACTATATCCATAGTCTAAATATATATAATAAAAGGTTTTAGAATAGTAATTCAAAATAGTAATTTTAAAAAAAATTTCACTCAACTCTGACGATTATCTGTACCAAAAATCCAAACATATTTTTTTATAAAAACACAATAGTATTTAGTAAAACACGGAAAGTATACTAGTTGCTATAAGTCAGCAGTTGTTATTTAAAAGTAGTTCTCATATACTACCTGCTAACTTCTTCGAAGTTTATTACTTACCACAAGCATGACACTTGTCGTTTAGAAGTAGTTCTCATATGCTACTTGCCAACAAGCCCAGAGTTTATCACTCACCAAAAAAAGAGTATAGATGCCCCACCTCTTCCCTAGAAGAAGATTTAAAAGTTGTGGAGTTTTTATATAAATGTAACTACTTTTCTTGAGTGCAAGTAGTCTCTCTCTAAATGTTTTTCACTCGGCCAGTCTTCTCCAAAATTTTCAACAAAAAGTGGGTGATTTGGCTTACTTCTTCCAAAAGATTAGTATTATTTATTTTCCAAATTCAGACATACTCAGGAATACAACCACATGCCTTGTTTATCGATAAATATGATATATGACATAGTCTATGGATACGGGACCTCCACATGACTGAAATCGGGTCTCTGGCATAAGAGGCATTCGGAGGTGGTCAGTAGTCAGATAATAATTTGTTAGATTTTATAGTTGAGATATACAAACATTGCAGTTGTTATAAAATTTTTTCTTAAACCTGGCACAGATTATAATAGTATATTTTTCTTTTTTCTTTTGTTTTATTTGTACTATTTCTTGATAGAGGTAGTTCTCTCTTTGTTGGCCCTCGGGCTTTTCTCTTTGTTTTTCTTTTTTTACATTTCATTGTATCCCCTTTTATTTCCTTTAAAATTTTCCCTTTATTTTATTTGTTTTTTTTTAATTAGTTTTTTGTTTTGGTTTTTTGATATTATTTGTTGTTTTGTATTAAATATATAATTATCACTTTCTTTTGCTCTCAGTAAAAAAGAGAATATAAAGGGAAAAGCTTTGATGAGCTGACAAAGTTTATCTAACTTGTATACAGGTTAGTGTGACAAGTCATATAAGAGCACGTTAATCATAGCCGGGTGATGTCAGGCTCGCAACTGCAAGACTCCCTGTTTAGGTTATAAATAATAAGGTAAGTGTCTCTAATTTGATGTAGTTAATTTCTTCAATAGCAAATCTTTATTAAATCGGTATGAAAATGTATAAATTTTACTAAATTTGATACTTTTCAATTTAAAAATAACAATTTATTTAAAAAAAATTTTTATTAAATCAAAAAAATCGAATCTTTATTAGAGTAACAAAAATCTAACCAAAATCGAGATTATCAAGAGATCACTCCTAATTTGACACACTGGATGATCTCAAATTTTAGATCGATTCATATCCTTAAAATGTTGCTTTTCTGCCCTTATACATTCTGTATTCTCTTTTTTTTTTTTCTGTACTTTTTGTTTTTGTGTCTTTTCAGCTTCACATGCTGTTTTTTTTTGAAGAGCCTCATCTTTTTTATATTGTTTCTCGCTAGCTAGTTTTTTTGTCTCTTTTTCCGCTTCTTTTAATTGATTCAATGATTCTTTGTTTATTAGAAGCCGGGAAAAAGTATTCTTTCTTTTTGTAGATAGAGATCTTGATTGCTCTTCTTCTTCATCTTTTGGATTTTCAGTTGGTAGACTAGAACACAAAAGATATTTAAGTATTTATCGCAAGGAACTTGTACCAGGGTTATAAAGAGTTTCAATCTCTTCTTCTAAACTCTCAACTCTTTTATTTAATAGCTCAATTTCTAACATTAGGTCTTTTTTTATAGGATTTGTTTTTGTAAGATATGTATAGCCTGGGGTCTGCTTCGAAGATCATAAAAACGAAAACGATCGCAAAGACGAAAAAGATTGCAAAGATAAAAAAGATTGTGAAGACAAGGAAGATTGTGAAGATGAAGGCTCAGGAATATTGGTATGTTCAGTTACTATTGAAGGATTTAAACAGTTAGAGCCAATTGCACTACATTAGCAAAATATATAACCGTAATCTTACGTAAGTTATTATGGCCTGAAAACTTGCACAAGTATTACGGATCAACGTGGCATATTTCGTAATATTTTATTACGGAATATTACGCAATATTATTTTCGAAATATTTCGAAATAATTTTAAAATAGAGATTTTTAAAACAGCACCATGGTGCACCCCTATATCACATAGTC